CTCCCCTCCCTCCCTCTCTCCCATACATATAAATGTTTCCCTCATTCATCTGGCTTCTACACAGGCACAACAGCAGTAATTGCCTTGTTGGATGGTGAGCTGCTGGTTATTGGCAATGTGGGCGACTCCAGAGCAGTCATGGGTGACCTCAAGGGATCAACCATTCCACTCTCCTTTGATCACAAGCCTAACCAGGTTAGAGGGTGAACATTTGCTGTTGTCTGTATTATTATTTTGTAATTATTGCTCTTGATGTTACTGTTAATATTACTGTTCTTACTTATCAAAACCTATTTATTGAATTTGCATAAACTTCAACACAGTCTTTGTTTATTATCTCTCTCCATTCTTCTTCATCTCTGAGTAGCTGAAGGAGAGACGACGAATCAAGGAGGCTGGAGGCTTTATCACCTTCTCAGGTGTTTGGCGTGTGGCAGGCATTCTGGCAACCTCCCGTGCCCTCGGGGATTTCCCCCTCAAGGAACCTCGCAAGCTGGTCACAGCCGAGCCAGACGTCCTCACATTCAGTCTTCGTGATCACAAGGTAGTTACCAAAGATGGGACTTTTCTTTTCTGTTTTCCTTCTTTCTGGTGATATTGATTTTGCTTTTTTCTGTTTTCCTTCTTTCTGGTGATATTGATTTTGTTCTTCCCTTCCACTGTTTTTATATTTATTTCCCCTTTCTTCCTTTTCAATTATTTTTATACATGTTCCTTCTTTTCTAGGCACACTTTGTCATCTTGGCCACGGATGGGCTTTGGGATGTGTATAGCAATGAGGAGGCAGTAGCATATGTGCGAGACCACATCCATGAGTCGGACTTTGGCGCCAAGTCCTTGTGCCTGAGTGCTTACTACCGGGGTTCACAGGACAACATCACTGTTGCCATCCTCAACATAGACAAGTTGGGCTTGTGAATGATGCATTCATTCTTCTTGATCATTTCCGTAGTTCAAAAAAATGAAATCCTGAGAGCCATAACCCAATGGGCAACTGACTACATATATTGAATATATATATATATATATATATATATATATATATATATATATATATATATATATATATATATATATATATATATATATATATATATATATATAATAAATATGATTAAATAAGGCTTTTGTGTCCCATAACCATTTCAGTAAAAATATTTATCTAATTCCTCAATAGGAAAAGTGGTAGGCTCATTTATCATAGGTTTATTAACCAGAAATATTAACTATAGAGCACTTTTCTGTACTTTGATTTCATTCTAATATACCATGGCTTGACCAGTTCATTCAAAGGAGTCAGTGGGAAATAGATTTCTTAAAGTCACTTCAGATTGGTTATTCAGTTGCTTTATATGTTCTGGGTGTCTCTCTCTGCTGATGACTTGCGTTACGTCTCAGTGGAAGGTTTATTAGAAGGCTAGTCAAGTTGTGTTTTGCCATGGCAGGATTAGAAGAATGCTAGTGTGATATACTACTCAACGATATGTAAATATATAAACACTATATTACGTACATAGGTAAGGTTTTGATACGGATGGCTACTCTATTTTGGGATTCAGAGCGAAATAATTCTGTGGATTTTTTTTTTATTATTATTATAGTATTAACAAGGTCATTATATGGATATATGTGCATATACCATTTTTTGTGTTCTGTTTCCAAAAAGAAATGTATGCTTTCAGAATGAAAAAAGTCAGTATAACTTAAGGAAGAATCAGTGGTTGATCTATTAATGTTTTAAGGTGGAAATAAATGTATAATTAAATGAATAAATATATTATTGAAGAAAAATATTAGAACCATATTTATCTGACTGCATATGCTTTGGACCTCCGTCCCTTAGGCTCTTGTTCTGTATGTTTTCTCTGGCAAGCTGTAAGTCCTTTTTCTGTTAGTTGTAAAAATAGAAAGAATGTCAGTGAATGAAATTTATCAGTTCAGTATGCAGGGAAGAAACACAGATTTGTGTATTGTGCAATAATATTTATAGTGTTTTTGTATTTTTTGATGGGAGCCATTCTTGTGCATTTATCAAAAGTTACAAATACCAAATTGTGTTTAGTGCTCTCTATGTATTTATTATTAAGACACTGCTTATTACTCAGATGATAATTGTTACCAGTCAGGATCTTTTGATACCATAGAACATTATGTTAGCACTGTTCAATCCAGCTGCAGCCACACAGGAAGGCTTCATTATGCTAAATCACCTCTACATTCATGTATTCTTTAACCTGTTAGTAAGAACAAGGCATATGTGTAAAAGGCTAAATACTTTTATTTAAGGATCTCTGTTGAATAGCTCATGAGTGGCAATGGTTCTCCTCACATCATTCCTAGGATTTTTTTTTGTTTTTGTTTTTGTTTTTCTGCCAGATTTTGTTTTTCTCTCTTTCACTTCTATTAAGTATTTTTTGTAGGTGTTAATTTCATATATTTACATTTTACTTTTTTCACGTATTTGTGAAGAAATAATTGTGTATTAAAAAAATATGCTCAATTGGTGTGTTTCTTTTAAAGCAATCCTTTTGTATGGTATATTAGATTGAAAAGTAAATACTTGCATCTCTTTAATAAATTACTTTGTGAACAGTAAAATTCTTAAACTGTGAGAATCTGAAATCCACACTTATCTTCCTTATATTATAAAACTTCATGTTCAAGTTCATCTAAGTGATTTATGGGGGGACAAATGTATTCAAGTTTATTTTCATTTCATTCACTTTCCTCATTAGAAGAAAATATGGTACAGGGTTGTAAAGAAAATGCACACTGAAAGAACATTCCATTTACTAGTTAATACAAAGACTGCCATTAAATGTGTGAAGTACATACCAATATCTGGCCAGCCAGACACGGGGTTTGGCACTCATCAGTCTATTGCCAAGTACTGCAACTGCCAGCTGATTTTGACACCAAGCTGCCAAATGCATTGTGGTCATTGTTATAATGGGTTATGTGGTGGCTTATTCAAGTTCTTATCAATTCCTGTGACACTTGATGACTTGCCTCAGGTACATGTAACAGAATTGCCTGGCAAAGCTGCTCTTGGGCTAGAAAAAAAAAAAATTCTAATCAGTTAAGTATAACAAAGGGTAGATGGATTGTACATCTGGTTTGAGTACATTATGTAATTCCATGGCATAACTTGGTGCTCAACTGAGAACTGTCTCCACAAAGTTTGCCACAGTTCTTGAGCAGATGTGGATGTAAGGAGTAATTTGCAACATGGTCATACCACCACACTACCTGTGAATCAACTTCTAAAGTTGCCCTCTTGTACACAACTTACATGAAACATCCCTGCATCGTTGTTTTGTTAGTGTTACTTTAGAAAAAAATCTACCAAGATCTATTGTTTCATTGAAGACTAATAACAATATAAAGCATTAAAAGTTTCTTGACACACTTCCCTCATACCACATGAGATGGTGTTAGTCACAGATGGAATCCCCTTTTTTTTGTGTGCGTGTGCGTGTTTGTGTGTGTGTGTGCGTATATATGTACGTGTGTACGTATATATGTACGTGTGTACGCATATATGTACGTGTGTACGCATATATGTACGTGTGTACGCATATATGTACGTGTGTACGCATATATGTACGTGTGTACGCATATATGTACGTGTGTACGCATATATGTACGTGTGTACGCATATATGTACGTGTGTACGCATATATGTACGTGTGTACGCATATATGTACGTGTGTACGCATATATGTACGTGTGTACGCATATATGTACGTGTGTACGCATATATGTACGTGTGTACGTATGTGTGTGTATGTGTGTACGTATAAGTGTGTATGTGTGTACGTATAAGTGTGTATGTGTGTACGTATATGTATGTATGTATGTGTGTGTGTGTGTGTGTGTGTGTGTGTGTGTGTGTGTGTGTGTGTGTGTGTGTGTGTGTGTGTGTGTGTGTGTGTGTGTGTGTGTGTGTGTGTGTGTTTGTTTTAGGTATATATATGGCTTTATAGAAAAATGTATAAGTATAAAATATACATACACATTTTGATATACACAGAAACCGTTAACTCTTAACCTTATTGTCTGTAGTTTAGGTTCACATGAACCAAATATTCATACAAATCATTACAAGCATTATGACCAAAAGAAAACAATTAAAAGGGCACTTTTATGTTTTAGATCAAATACTTAAAAAATATGAAAAATAATACAATTCATTACAAAGGCATATAAAGAGATTTTAAGAAAGAATAATTTAGAAGGCTTAGCAATAAATATAAGTTCAATGAAATATTTAAGGTGTTGCTAGTACAAATACTACTCCCAGATGAGCTGATAATCACTACTAAAATAATATATATTTTTGGATCTCTCCTTTCTTCTGCTCTTCACCAAGAACATAGGTCATATTCCAGTCTCAAGTAAATTATGCAACTGAACTAAACAATTTTAGAACTCCAAAAAAATAATTAAAGAATACCTACAAATGTTCAGATTTATCAAGACAAACCTACAACAGATCAGAGGCACATTACAATATGATCAGTCAACTAGCCTTTAATTAAAGATATATTTTCATCCTAACAATCATATCACCATTATCTCAGATGTATAACTAAAACTTCTAACAGCATTTTAATTTATGTTGCTATTCCTCTCAACGGTTTCATTTCCATCTAAAAAAAAAACATGACACTAATTTAGTATTACCTAATATTATCCCAAAATCAAAATAAGCAAGGAATGAGTGTGAAAACAGACTTAAAACCTTTCATAATAAACAAATAGAATGTATATAAAAATCAACCCAATGGTCACGAATGGCATTTCCATATATGTAATTTGTTCATTAATTTTGTTGACACAGATGGCTCCACAAGTGCTTAGTCACCTGGGAGTCAATCATTAGTCCTCTCTATCTCACCTGTTTACCCTTTTACAGGGTAAAAAAAATATTTGAAAATATCTTTTATTATTATTGTTAAGAACAGTATACTGTAAATAGAAAGCCCCCCAAAACTCCTGAAAATTCAAGGAATGGGTAAAACAATAAAATCACTACATTATATCAATAGGCCTTGGTGAGTGAGCAATTGTGGAGCCATCTGTACGCAACAAAATTTATATAACTACTGTGGATGGTACATGTTATGCAAAATATAATTTCAAATGAGCTATAAAACTATCATCAGCTGTCCTCTGTATCAATGTATCTATTTTTCACATGACAAAATGTGTAATAATGAGTTGTGATATACAAATTTACTAATGAATTTAGTTCCAAATCTTGCCTTGCCAAATTGTTCCTTCTTATTCAGTTATCTTTCTCAACACTCACAACAGCCTTTTATCGTGATCTCCACGTCTAGTGCCTGTTTTAAAGGGACAAAGTGACTAATGCACTATGTGAACTTCCTAACTGAACCTCTCCCTAAATCACTTTTACTAACCAATTTCATGTTAATTAAATCTTCAAGACAAAACATATTAAAAACAAGGGAGCCACGCCTAGTCCCATTTTTCCTTAGTCATGAGCATACCATAGACTGTCACTGTCTCTGTGTACTACCCAAAAACCAGAAAGGCCCAATGCTGCCAAAAATAATGTTAAATAATCTTATGAAGTTTCAGATTACAAGGTTACAAGACATCAAAGTTACATTAAACAGCGGTTGCCAGGAGCACATGTATGCATCCACTACCACTATGGTTTTGTTTTATTAATTTCATATACCCAGGTGTTTGCAGAAGTTATTAGTCACCAAGGAGTCCCCCATTCGTTCAACTTTTGGAGAGAAAAGTTTTTACTTTACATTTATTATTATTAAAGTTAATAACATAATTATAATGATAATGACACTAATGCATTACATAATATTACATAAAGTTATGAAAAGGGTTAACCAGGTGAGATCAGGTAGGCCTAGTAACTGACACTTTGGTGACAAAGTACTTCTAGAACTATTTATATGAGAAAAGAAATAATGAAAAAAAACTACATTGGATAGTGCATGTACCTAGCACTGATGGGTTAATACAGACAATACAGTGGACCAGAAGTTTATAAAAAAAATAATAATAATAAAAATGACAAGAGGACTGCTTTGATACAAAGTAGTGTCGGTCCCTTATAATCCTGAAATACAAATTACATTGCAATTTCATAAAATCCTGAATTGCAAATCATAATGCAATTTCATAAAATCTTTCTTTTTTAGAAGACAGGATCTTTACATTCAGTACCATACAAATTACTCTTTCCATACCACAATTTCTACATTATGCCTCTTAAAATTTATCATACATCTCCCAACAAAACATCACCACAGAAGAATCACATTTTTTTCTGGCTTACAATAAAGGCAGTGTGTTAGATCAGGTTTATGTTAATACATTCAGATATAATATACTGGGTGGATTGAATCCAAAAGTGTAACTTCTATTTAGGAAGGAGGTTAGGCCATCTGGGAACATAAAAAAAAAGGGTCTGTGATGCGTCTATTGTGTTCCTCAACAGTTTACCTTATTTCTTTGCCAATAACTAATATATGTCATTGGTGAAGTGTGCCACATTAAATATCCCAACTATTCATCTGATGAAATCCATTGAAAGTTTTGAAAAGATAAACAGATCAATAAATATATAAACTAATAAATTAACTAAATAAAAATAAATAGATAACTAATCCCTACTGCCATACAGCCTCATCACTTGGTAAACCATTATTTGCATGTTCAATCTTGTACATGGTAAACTACACATTATATGATGTTATATTCAGTAAATCTTTGCTCAAGGCTGTGTCTCTATAGACTATTAAAGATCTGCACATTATTAAGGGAAAATATCTATTGATATTATACTTCTATCCTTATTTTTCATTTTCACTTATCTGGGATTAGCAAATGTGTGAGCAAGTGAATATCAAGAAATCAAATGGGGACTCATTTTGGAGCAAAAGATTAGGTTCACAACATACAAAGAAATTAGCATATATGAATAATCCTCCCATGTAATAATCTGGGTAAATAAATCACTCTACTCTTCTTAATACTGACATCATTCCTTGGTGATTTTCCAGATGTATAATGATAATGGAAGGCAAAGAATGGATATAACAAAATACAACAATTGGCCCTTTTTTGATAAAAAAAAAAATGTACTGTCTTGAGGAATATTTACTAAGAAAAAATTATGGCATTTTTTTTCATTATGGCATTTTTTCATTCCTTATTTTCTATGCTTTGTCTACAGATTCGTTTGTGTCCAGGAAATATACAATATTCTCAGCAATTATGATGGATACTGCCACTACTATCTATATACTGTTCTCATGCAGATGTTCTCTTCACAGAACACAAACTCGTCTTCATTATACAGGAAAACTGTATGTCATTGATACTAACAAAAATGGCATTGATGGATTGAATCTGATATATGATATTGTTTCTGGTGTTTAGAATTGTTATAATCTTCAGACGGAAATGTAGTGTAGCACCAGGACACCAAAGCAAGGGCCATCA